CTCCACAGCCCCTGGCCAGAGCCTCCTCCAGCTCCCCCGGGCCTCCTCTCCTGGGCCACCTATTCTTGGTCACCTCCTGCCCCAGACAACATCCCCTAGGCCATCTCCTTCCCACTATCCCCAGAGAAACTCCTTCCCTGAGCACCTTCCCCTGGGCCACCTCTTATGTTCCTGCTTTCCTGGACCTCCTCCTCTGGGCACCTTCCCTTGGACATCTACTGCCTTGGAGAACCTCTGCTGGGCCATCTCCTCCTCCAGGCAACCTCCCCCATGACCCTCCTCCTTCCCTGAACAACCCCTTCCCTGGACCTCCTTGTCCTCCGGGCCACCTCCCATAGTCTTCCTCCCCTGGGCAACCTCCTCCCTTGGACAACCTTCCCTGGGCCATCTCCCCATCTCGTCTCCTATGTCTCCTTCTCCGGGCCACCTCCTGTGGACCCTTCCCTGGCCACCTCACCTGCCATCCACCATGTGCCCAGGCCCCCATGCATGCCCAGAGCTCACCCACCTTGGGGTTCTTCCAGGACCCCCACCTGCAGCCTTGAGGAGCAAGTGACAACCTCAGTACTGCAGCTTTTAAAACTCCCGAATCCAAGTTTTATTACTGTGTAGAAGAGAGATCACTCACAATATATTGTTCAAAAAGAAATACATTCAACAGCATTTACAGTGGAATGACATTAAAATCCTCTGTGGGAGGGAACAGAAACCCCAGGAGATGGTGCTCTGATTAAGTGTTGCTGCTAAGATGATCTCTGGAAGATAGAGCAGTTTTTAAAATTAGCCTAAAAAACGGGGGAATTTCTGCTCTGGGGGTGTTCCTCACACTCCCCCGAGCTCTGTTAAGCTGTGCAGGGTCCATGATGGTGACAGATGCAGCAATGGGGGGTACATCAGAGAGGACCTCTCAGGGTCCCAGAGCCCAGCAGCACCCTTGGTGCCAGCACTTACTGAGCAACATCTCACTCCCCACTCTCTTCTGCTGTGGGAACGCTCAGATCCAGGTTTGGGGACAGCCTGTGCAGGAGTTTCACACCTCTCCAAGCTCTCAGGTAACACTTGCATTGACAAAGCAAACAAGGAAAATAAGGCATTTTGAAGAGCTCAATTTCTAGCCCATTTTACAAAACCTATTCAGGCCTCAAGTGGAACAAAACTCTCCTGGGTAACTTTGGTTGCCATCACAAACCAAGCCAGCAGCATGAAGGTTTAGTGCAGAGCATCCTCCACTCTTCCAGATAGGTGAAAGCCTGAAGGAGATCTGCACACCCTGGAGCCAGGACATGCAGCAGCTCTCCACAGGCTGCATTCCACAGCAAGTGCAGAAGTTTAGATCCTTTAAGAGCTACACCAGCTTTACTGAGCCATGGGCAAACCTCCAGGAAGGATCAAGAAGGAGCAAAGATGCCAGGTTTGGAGCATCACACTCCCAAATGCGGGGGATACCAAGCACCACCCTTCAAACCCCAAATGCATCATTTCTAGAAGGGAGTATCTTTGTAACACCTTTTGAATGTGATAGCATCCAGCTTTGGAGCAAAATGTTGCTCCTCTACTTTGGGCATTACTCAGTCACTGTCACCCCTACACCCTACCTCTGGGATAAGCCTAGGGAAATCGTACTCATGCTACAAAAACTCAGACAGACTCTTCTGTCTTTGTTATTTTTCATCTATTGTGTACCATAGAAATTTAAGCAAAATAATTTCATATATATTTTTTATATATAAATTAGAAGCAAATAAATAAGATTAAAAGGTACATTGAAATCAGTGGGTGTTGCCACTCCAATAGCCACTCACTACTGTTACGCCATACAAGGTCTATATATACTGTACACATAGGTTTGCTGTAGGTAATGGGTATGGAGGTGCTGGAAGAGAAGCCGACTAGGAGGAGGCCGATGGTTGAGGAACCTGATTGCATAAGTGTCCCATGTGCAGCCTGGGTATTCCAGTTACCATTGCCTCAAAGTTCATTATTGCTAATTATCTTCCAATGTGGATGTGACAGTCTGGCTAGGGGTGGCCTCTGACCCCCCAGAGGCAGCACTCAGTACAGTATGGTGAAGACCTGGAGAAGAAGACATCAAAAATGAAAGCCAATGGGGCAAACGCGGGTGTCCAGGTCTCCCTGATACTCTCTGGCCTAGTGGATCCCATCTTCAGGGTCCTGCCACCCCCATCCTCCCCTTGGGCGCTGGGGACCAGCGGTACCTGCCTGCGTGGCCAATGCCCGAACACTGCTCACTCCTGGTCCTCACCGATCATTGGCAGGGCTTGCTCCGCTCCTCCTGGCGAGTCCAGGGCCGCAGCAAGGCAACGGCACGCAGGAGGGGTGAGTGGGGGGCGTGGGGCTCCCCCGACCCCGTGCTCAGGCTGCTTTAGTGGTGACCTGAAGCTGCTCCTGGGAGAGACCAGCCATGAGGAAGAAGGAATGGAGCTGGGCACTGGGCTGCGGGTGCCCTCCAGGCCCAGCCTGTGACCCCCCCGTGTCGGGGGATAGCAGACCAGACCTGTCTGGCTTAATGGGGAAGACACAGGGATGGGAGACCCAGAACTCAGGCTGCCTCCCAGGGAGGTTCCGTCCCAGCAGCACCACAGCATCTCTTCCCTCCCCTCCCACTCAGGCAGAGCTCAGCAGGGAGATGCTGCCTGCAAACCCGGTACTGAGGTCCAGGCTCCTGCCAGCCCCTGGGCTGCAGCGAGACAGAGTGGGAGAGAGCCGGTTTGCGGACCCTGGAGCATCGCCGGTCTACAGACCAATGCGCTCTGTGTCTGCTGGGCATTCCCAACCTCAGTGAGGCCATTTCCCCCTTTGGCTGTGGCTGCAGCTGCAGGAAAACCAAACCAAACCTCACTCAAATCACTCTCACAAAGCATCATGTTAAAGACAGCCCTAAGCCTTGACTAAACACAGCAGAGTGCAGGGAATCTGCTCAAACACTTCTTTAAAAAAATAAAAAGTAAGGCGGGGGGGGAAGTCACCAGCTGAAATATCCTAATTGGTGTTACTGGGATGACTGGGCACTGCAGGAACCACCGAGAGCCTCCAGGATCAAGCGCCATTGCCCCTGGAGACAGTTTTCTGAGCAGGACGCAGAGTTGTTTGTGTCCATCTTTGAAAGAACCTGAACCAGGAGCAGATTTTTTTTTTAAAAAAATAGTTCCATAAAGTCCACACAGAAATGGGGAAAAAAAAGATAACGTCAAAGAAAAGAGCTCACACAAATCCCCACAATGCGAGCATCTTTGGAAGTCGACGTCTCAGCTGATAAAGCCAAGGCGTTGAAAGATATAGGCAGCAACTCCTGACAGCAATAAATATGCTAGGCTAAAAACGAACCAGATTCATGTGTCCTTGTTCCTAATTAGTCACTGAAAAAGCCATTATTAAAAAAAAAGGATGCTATTTATTAGTGTGTAAAAAAATAGGTTTGGAATCCCTGTTTAGATTTCCTTTTCAAATTTCTGTATGTATTGACTCTGTGTATGTATTTGCACTGTTAACTGCTGGCGGGACGCTGCCAGCGTGTCCTCACTGTCCCTCTGTCTGTCCCGGTGAATTGAGGCACAGGGCTGGCCACCCCGGCGCGAGTGGAGTGGCTCAGAAGATGTCGGGGCACGTACTCCAGTCCTGCTTGTCCTTGGCCTCCCAGTAGCCGCCCTTATAGACACAGATCAGTTCCCCTGTCACAGCATCCACCTTGCGCTCAAACCACAGTGGGATATAGCCTTCGTAGTCCTTGCCTGTCCAGGGAGAAACAGGTGGTAAGTGCTGCTTTTCCCAGTGAGTCCTGCACTTCCCCCAGCCACCCGAATCGACACAGGGTCCTTCCTTCATCCCCAAACCCAGCAGGGTTTCTTCACCGCATCCCCCTCCCGCAGCAAGGGGCGGCTGGTCCCTGCCTGCCAGCACCCTGAAGCCTCTCACCTTCCTCCAGGGCTTCCACGGCCTCAGCCTCTCGCCTCCGGCGCACGGCTCGCTGCTTCTCCTCCAACCGCTGCTTCTCCACGTTGGCCTCATCCCAGCGGCCACTCTCCATCAGCCGCTGGTCAGGTCTCAGCCGGCTGTCTGTGGGGGCCACTCGCTCCTCAGGCTCATTCAGGGTGAGGGCCAGGTCAGAGAAGAAATACATGTTCTCAGCATTCTCCCTGCAGGCAGAGCGCCCCAATCAGGACGGCAGAGGTGGTGCCTATCTTGAGCAGAGCTCCCCAGCCCTTCGAGTCCTTGTGTCTCACCCCAGCCCCACTGATGCTGCTTCTGCTACCCCAAACCAGACATGTACAGGTCCTTTGGGGAGCCCTGCCTCACGCCCTCTAAATGGAGATGCCAATGACACACCTCAATGGGTGTCTCAGAGGGGAACAGAGATCCCTCCTAAGTTGGCTCCATCTGGGGAAGCTAAAAACCAAGTCTATGAACTCCCAGTGCTGTATTGCACAGCCAAGACACAAAACCGCTTCACCCAAGAGCTGCTGGATCCCTGACTGCAGAACTGGTAGCACCAAGTGGAGGACACTTTCCACCAGGGACCATTCCAATAGAGCATCTCCAAAGCAGAGGTCAGCCGTTGATGCCACCAAAGGCTGGATACTGGTTTGGTGCCCTGCTGTGGGTAAGAGTGTTGAGAGAGGGTTGGTCCCCAGAGGGCTACAGTGACTGGTGGGACAGGATGGCCAGGGACTCACCAGCAAGGCAAAGCAGCCAACATATCCCCCTGCCATGGCCAGCAGCCTAAAAAACCTAACCAGTAACCCCAGCTGCCCAAAACCTACCTGCAAGGGTCCCCCAAAGCCACCTTCCCCTTGCATGGACCTGCTTTCCCCTTCAGCTGTGTGCTCACGCCCCAGAAAAAGCCACACAGCCACCCAAGTCCTGGTCCCCTTCCCGTGTCCTCAGGGCTTGGCACATGAGCCCACTCCATTCCACAGGGCTCAGGGCAACAATCCCCATCCAGCTGTTGCACCCCTGAGCACAGTACCCTAGGCCAAGGAGGGGACTCACGGGAGGGGGTACTTCTTCCACAGGACCTTTGGAGACAGCGTCTGGTAGACAGTTTTCTGTTTGCCCTCTGTGCTGGTGCTGCCGTGGCTGCTCTGCACTATCTTGGAGCACTCCATCTTCTCGTCCCATGTGCCGGACATGACGTAGTGGGCTTTACCATCGGCGTCACTCACCACCCCCGTCACCTGGCAGAAGGAGATGGCTCTGGTGGCATTTGGAAGTGCACAGAGGACAGGGAGAGGCGCAGGGGGGCAGAACACTCTCCAGGTGCCCCAACCGGAGCAGCTGGACCTGGCACCGTGTGTCCTCAGGGAGCATCTGGGGGAACATGGGCCCATCCTGACCATGCAGGTGTGTCTCCAGCACATCAAATCCTTTCTAGGTCTCAGCGCTGCAGCTCTGGCACACAGAGAGCCAAAACATGGGCTATGCTTGGACATGGCTGGTCCCCACCCACACCTCTCTGGTGACCCACATCAGAGGTGCCAGTGCAGCTCCTTGGCCCCATGCTGGGGCTCATCCCAGCTGCAGTACTGGGATGCCATGAGCCCAGCTTAGAGGGAAGAGCCAGGTCTCACCCCACACAAGGCTGCCAGAAGAAGCAGGGAGATACCTGGATACGTACCTTTCGGGGGACATCTCTGGAGAAGTAGCTGTAGGGGGTAAATTTCAGCTGGCATTTATCTTTTGACTTATGGTTAACAATCTCTATTTCACCAGACTAGATGAAAGACACAGAACCACAGCAAGTGAGAGACTTTGCAAGGAGACAAATCAGGCGTTAGTTCTAGTGCAGGTACAAATCAACACCAGCTGCAGCATCACTTCTGGCTGCAGCCACAGCACTGGCCGCCCCCACCAGCCCCACAGCTCACCAGCAGCAGGGTAAAACCCATCACACGCATGACCACCCTGCCCCCCCACAGAGCTGCTTGCCTTGAGAAGAGCCATTAGGAGCTCTAAGAAGACTCCCCCCATCTCTGCCAGGGAAGCACACCTTCCTATCGCTGGTGGAGTATGGTGGGAACACCAGGCAGCACTGGCATACAACCTAGGAGGGCAATGCCCTCACAGCCCCCCTGACCTTCCCCAGAGCCAGGTGAGGTCAGGCAGGACCCATCACCTCGGACCCGTAGCCACCAACCTGGTCGATCCAGAGCTTGCCAACGATGATATTGTGAACAGTGGAGGTGACTTTCCTCCAGACATAGTGATTCCCACTGGAGTGAAACTCGAGGTGGATGGTGCCTGCGGAGAGAGGAGCAGCCCCAAACTCAGCAAGGCTCAGCGAGGGCAGATGGTTGGGCAGGGCTGCAGGCACACTGCCCTGGAGTACAACGACACAGCCCAGCACCATGCGCATCCCCAGAGCCGACCTGGCCCCTCCCTCTACCTGCATCTCCCATCATCAGCCCCTAACCGGGCTGGGTCTGGATTCACCCCTACCCTTGCTGCATGCTCCGTGGTCTGCTGCAGTAAGGTAAGTATTGCAGCTTACTTAAGTAAGCTGTAATACCTGCAAGACCCTCTACCTTCCTCCTGCTCCCCCAAAAACACACTGGTTTTAAAAGCAGGTCAAAAACGTGCTGCCTGGTTGATTTGAATCAGTGTCATGAGACCAGCCAGCCACCAGCACAGCTCTGGAGCTCTGGGATCAGCCCAGGGCATGCTGCCCAGCCCAGGGAGAGGCAGAAGACAAATAAAACCTGGGAAGGAGGCAGCTTATTGCATCTGGCTGCCACGGAGAGGGTTAAAACAGGCAGAAACCTAACCTTTAAATATCATTTAAGGAGAAATCAATTAATGGGTAAGCAGGATATTTCCAAAGCACGTGTGCTATGGTGCTAGCAGCAAGCAAAGCAGTCTCCCTTTGCCGCTGGCATAATTTCCATTTTCAGGGCAGATGAGTTATCGTAGGGTTGTCTGTGATCAGGAGCACAAATCTGTGCTCCTACATTGCTCGGGGTGGAATTCACTGAGCCCTCCGTGAGCCCAAGGGACCAGCACGTTGCTTTAACCTCTGGAGTACTGCACAAGCAGTGCAGGACAAAAAGCAAGCCCCGATCCTCCCAGCATAAGTCACCTACCCAGTGGCATGATGGAGAGGTATTTGCCCCTGAACTTGCTGGCGATAGTGATTTCCTGCCACAACGTCCACCCTCGCTTCGAGTAGACATGATGGGCAGCTGCCGGCGGGTGGTGGCTCACCTTGGGGAGAGGAGAAACAGCCCGTAAGGTCACAGCCACCAGCACCAGAGAGCCCTGGCGAGCACTTGGCTACGGCAGCGTGAGTCCTAGGAGAGGTGATAGCTCCATACCAGCTTTGGACTTGAGGATGCTCCACTGCACTGGCCTGAACTACCCAACCTTCTCCTGGGCACTGGGGTGACCTCCCGTGAGGTACCCCGGCAGCATGTGGAGGTGCCAGCTCCTGCCAGGATTTTCTAAGGCTCATTAGCAAAACATCAGGTGTAAAAAACTTAACTTAAGCAACTATCACTGTGAAATTATGCTGTACTGTGACCCCAAGACACTTCCCAACTCTCCAAGGATCCTGGTTGAGAAACAGATATGTGCCAAAACCCAGCCCAGATCCCCAGTAATCCCAGTGTAACAGCGACTCTCCTACCAGCAGCAGCTCCCACTGCTCTGCCTGGGAACTCCCGAGGGACACAGGTCCCCCAGGTTGTCCAAGACACATGGACCTGCCCAGCCAAGTCTTCACCTTTGCCCCTACAGACACACTGGGCTGGAAAAGTAGATATGACATCCTCCATCCCCGGGGATGACTTGTAAAAGGACGATGGGTCACGTTCCCCTGCACTAGAAAAGCTGACCAAAACCAAGGTAGGAGCAGGACATCCCAGTCAGAGGGCTCTGCCCTCACACAGGGTCTCACCCAGCTGAGCCATAGCACTCCAGCACAGCATACACCACCCATCACCGGGAGACTGCCAACCAGCAGGCCCCGATGGCCACACCACCGAGTTCAGAGATTATTTGCACCGATGTAATTACAGGCTGAGCGCCTTGAGCTACTGGATTACAAACGTGAGCAGAGCAAAAACCTCTCCACTAAATCCCACTCACCAGCAGGAGAAAATCCTATTTGGATAACTGGATTTCAGGCACAAGATTATCAATGCTTTGCTAAGCGTATCGGCAGGCTGAGCAGCACACGCAGTGTACAAGGAAAGTTCAGAGCAGTGGGAACAGCATCCATCTGTCCATCCCACGCTACCCGCACCAACCACAGTACCAGGGAAAGAAGCACTGTGAACGCTGCGCTGGTGCAAAGCCATGCTATCACCGAATTTGCCCTTTTGAGATCACTCCAGGAAGGAGATTTAGAGGCTCTGCTCATGGACCAAAGGCTCCAGAGTGCTGCAATGGAGCAGGTTTTCTCAGTTACAACAAACCTAATTTTGGATGAATCTCATGTGCCGTGACAGTGAGGGTGGGACTCAAAGACCAGGCAGGAGGGCTGCACCCAGGGGTTCAGCCTGGCTTGCAGCTAACATGGAGGTGTCAGAAATACCAAATTTGAGTACAGATGTAGGAAAACCGAGACCAACCAGAAAAAGTAATTCAGGGCAGGTTACTTACTTGGGAGGGGACAGGGATGGAGCAAGGAGAGTGGTGAAAAGGAGAGTGAAGGAATGAGAAAAGGGATGGCAAGGTGTGGGAGTGATGTGGTGGGGATGTCCAGTGGTACCCAACGGGCAGTGCTGGGCTTCATCACCACAGTGTGAATGAGGGTAATAAACCCAACCGTACCACAGGAGAATGAGGGGTGTTGCTGGCTAAGGGATGGATCAAGCATCCTGGTAAGGAATCATCCACTTCCTAAAACACTGGGCTGAGCAGGGTGACAGCCCAGGGAGACAGGGCACTAGGGAGGTGCTGGAGAACAGAGACCCTTAATTTCTCTCTGCTTTGCAACACTCTGCCAAGCTTGGGCACCCATTACCACAGAGGGGTTTTGTCCGCACCTATGTGTCCTGCAATGAGCTGATGGCAGAGCATGGCACCTGCTAAAGAGGCTGCTCCAAACCTGGGTACAAAGTGCCATGACTTGGAGATGATGATGAGGGACAGAGACAAGCTAAACCATGTCAGGGGAACACAGGGATGCTGGTGCAAGCCTGAGCCTCCTCACTGCATATTCCTAGCGCGCCCCATCTGCACGTCCGACATCTGCTGTGAGCATCATGTACCACAGCACAGCATGCCCAGATTAGCAGCAAGACCCTCTTCCCATGCAATGTCCCCGCAAAAAGCCCACAGGGCTTAGGGGCACAGTCTGCTGAAAGGCTCTGCAGATCTTGGACCGGCATCAGCCTCTGCAGAGTGACAGAGGTTTGTGATTTTTTTTGATGCTTCTGAACACTGAAAGACATGACAGTCGCTCTGCCCCTGAGATGGCACAGCCACCCCCTGGAGAATACAGAGCTCCCACTAACATGATGTCCTGCCTGTGAGGGGTGATAATTGGCCCGGTCCATCCCCAGGAATCCAGGACAGACCAGCCAAGTGTGCTAAATATTAAACAGTCAATTTTCTTCATAGGTCGCAACTCGTTAAGAGCTCCAGGTTTTTAATTAAGACCTGCTGTTTGACCAATGTGTGCCAGATGCGCTCTGTGGTTAGAGTATGGGGCTGTCAGAGGTTCTCAGGTTGCCCCCAGGCTCTGAAACTAAAAATTTTCAGTCCAACAAGAAAGAAACGAGACCATGAGACACTCTCTGGCCTGAAGACACCCTGAAACAGGTAGGAACCACACCAGAGCTTGTGGGCATCACTGACATGGCTAGGAGGGAGCTCAGGTGAAGAGAGCTTCTCCCTTTCTGCTCAAGTGTTGAGATGTGACAGCAACCCCAGCCCCAGGCAGGCTGCCAGCAGATCCGGCAGGGTGATGGACACCTTTCTCCTCCCCTTCTTCCCCACCTCCCGCTCTGCAACGCTGGGACAGGCACATTGTCTTCTTGCTTCTGAAAAATGGCTTGGGCTGTGCCCGCTGCTGCTTCTGCTAATGCGAACAGGAATTTGCTGGCTGTCTCAGCCAGGAAGAAGGCTAAGTGCAAGGAGATTCTGGGTCTCCTTCAGGGAAGGGCTGCTTTGGCTGGACATGAGCAGCAGGGCAGACATGCAGACCCCCTCCACAGACCCCAGCTCACCTGCTCGCATAGGGAACGGAAACCAAACTCCTCCAGCCGGTCGAGCTCATAGGTTTCCCCCAGCAGTGGGTTGAATGGCTTTGCAGTGCGGTGGACAGTCGTCGAGTAGGAAGACACCGAAAACGCAGCCACGAAGCACATCTGCTCTGTGGAACTCTCACACTTGACTGCTTTGTCCAGCAGCTCGTGGTACTCCAGGTCCTCCGTCAGCCTCTGCAGCATGGAGAGCGGCTCGTTGAAGTTTACCTGGAGGGGAACAAGTAAGGGTTAGCAAAGCAACAGATGTCAAGCTGGGCACTTCACCCTTTGCCTTTTTCCCCCAGCACGGTGCCCTGATAACCACTGGCAGCCCACACATTTGGCTTTCCAAGCATGGTGCGATGCACCGCAAGAGTCAGGGATCCAGAGAGGATGGAAACTGCTGAACGAAAGCAGCAGCCTCCCAGGGCAGCTTACGGCATGGGGCTGTGCCAAGGCACACTGCCTGCACACTGCCTCTGCAGCATCACGCAAACATCAAATAAAGGAAAGAAATGCGTGCTCTGCCATGCTCCCTGAACCTACCATGAGAGCATGAAGGCTTTGAAGTTCCCATCTGAGGTGTACCAGTGAGCTTGCAACCCCAGGAGCTAACCAGGTATCATCCCAGTGATGATGGAGCATCGGTGACACCCAAAATGAATCTCAGCTCCTTCCTGCCTCCTGGACAGCATCTCACTGGCTATGAGCAAGAGGCAACACAGGGCAGGGATGTGCTGCTCCCTGGGCTGCCCTCCATCACCTCCTGGCAAAGCCATCCCCATGCCAGGCTGCAGCCCAGTTGCTCAGAAAACCTTGAAAAGCTCCACTATGGGGTCTCCCTGCTCCTGGGGCTGCAGCCCCACAACAGCACCCGAACTGTGTGTGAGAGCTACAGGTAGTGGCAGCAGCAATACACTGCAGGGCAGAGAGCAGAGGGGAAGCTCTGTCCTGGGAGAGCCCGAATGGGTCATATTACTAGGCCCAAGTCATTGCTTTGTCAATTAGAAAACTTTGCCGTACACTGCCAGGTTGGACAGGCTGCAAACATCTCTGGTAAAAAACCAAATGGTTGATTTTAGCAATATTTTTTGTTCTGGAAAGAACCAAAACATAAAAATAACAGAAAGGAAGACTGAGATACTTTGTCTCAGAAGGTCTTCTGCCTCAAAACCATGTGAAATTCACTTTTTACTTTCAGTTCAGAATGAAGAAATATATTTTAGAAGGAGCAGATGGTTGAAGGATAGGAGAACCACTTCTATAAGCCAAGTTACATATTTCACACTAAAGAAAACAAACCCCAGATCATTCCACTCGAGGATTTAAGTAGCAGGGATCTTACAGCATCTGAGAAAGAGCGAGCTATGCAGAAAGGGCACCATCACATCCACAAAAAAATGCAAATCACAGCCAGCTTGAGATAACTCTTGGGAGAGACGCAGGCGACATGAGAACAAAGCCAGCAGCTGCATCCTCTCCACTGGCGCCACTTGGGCAATGGCAAAGCAAAACCTTTCCATGGAGGAAGGAAGATGAACACACCCGAAATGCAAAATTCCTAAAGCTGTTTTCTTCCTTTTCAATGCTGCAGGTTTGTTTGTTCAGAGGAAAAATTAAGGAGTAGTCTTTCAGTCCACCACGTCACCCGGAAAGGGGATGGGGCCTCAGAAATGCTCCTAATTTATGCTCCTTGGTAATGTTAGGTTAACTTAGTAATATTAGGTTAATGGTTGGGCTGGATGACCTTAAAGATCTTTTCCAACCTAAACGATTCTATGATTCTATAATTTGCCAAGAATCAGGTGAAGCACATGGAAGAAGAAACTCCCATCGCTCAGTGCACACAATAGGCTCACCGACGGTTTGTACTAGAATTAACCACATTTCCAAACAGCCTCCCCCAAGCCAGCTGCTCCACTTCCTTCTCCTCCTCCTTCGCTCTGTTTACCGCAATATCATCTTGCTCTCATTCAGCAGTTCCACCTCAATTCACAGAGCTGCCATCAATTCCTGTGCTCCAAGCACGTGTACCATGGAGAGAGAATTTAAATGGCTGTTTAAAGGAGATTAAATTGCCCCCTGATGCCTTACCATGGGCTGCTTGCTCTTGGGGTGAATCTCCCAAAGAAATCCTGCATGCGGCTGAGCTTGTGGGATGCAAAGCATCTCCCTGCCTCTGTATCTGCACAGATATCCAGACAGAGGAGCTGACAGTGAGCGGCTGACACCGGGCTGAGCCCCTTCTTTACAACCCACAGCTCTGTTGAACAGTTTACAGAGACAGCAGTCTGGGAAACCAGATCTGCTAGCCCCAGGGAGGGGATGGAGTAATCACATCCCCCAAGCCGGCATCAAGGGCTGCTGTGTAAGCAGAACATATTGCTCTCAGGTTTGGACTCAGCTTTAGCAGCTACCGGAATGATTTGATTGATAGGGAGGCTATAAATTTCCTCTCTCCAGGCAGCAGCAGCTGCTGGTATTTCACATCCTGAGTTTATTTCTGTACCCATCACGCCTTTATCTGATATTGATGCTGCTGCAGAAATGCTAATGGACGGCACTGGGCTGTACATCTCTGGCTGGAAATAGCACAAGGAAGAGACAAACTCATCGCTCTCACTCAGAGAGTGTCAGGCACTGCTTTTAAGAAGAGATGAAATACAACCAATTCAGCATCCAGACCCCTGTAACGTGCTCCTTCTCCTTTACACAGCAAAGGAAAGACCCCGAATATGGCTCCAGGGCTACAGATCACACTTTGCAGGGCTGCTTCCACTCCAGTCAGCGCCACAATAGATCTCAGTCACCCACAGATGTTTTTTACAACTCTCCCAAGCTTGCCAGGACTTCATGGTTTTTGGGGAAACAGATTCCTTATGATGGCACCCAGCCCCTGCTGCTCACTGGACTGGTGAAGACCTGCTAGAGAACCTGCAGCCTGGAAAGGACTGGTTTGCTCTGAAAAAAAGGGCTGCGGTTTTGGGGGAGTTTTGGCATGGGCAGCATTTTGTCTGGGTATATGAGGTACAGAGTTATTTGTCTGCAAGAATTAAATGCCCATCCCACTTACCCTCAGTGGCAGCCCATGTGAGGGGAGTTCCTCCAGACAGACCCCTGTCAGCAAATCCTCTCCTCTGACCATCTGCAGGAAGCATTCGCCCCAAGCAAACCCAGTAGCGCCCAGCGGTGCTGTAAATTGTCCCCACAGCACCTTCTTCTATAAAAGGCTGCTCTTCGCAAAGAAAATAAAGGTACTCTGGGTCCCTGGGGTGAAACATGTCCCTGCTATGCTGTCAGTGCAAGTGGGGCTACCCTCCGAGCACCACGTCCCCAGGATGCACACATGAAAGGTAGGACCTGCTTGACCAACCTGATCTCCTTCTATGACCTGGTGACCTGCCTGGTGGATGAAGGAAAGGCTGCGGACACCATCTACCTGGACTTCAGTAAAGCCTTTGACACAATCTCCCATAGTATTCTCCTTAGGAAGCTGGCGGCTCATGGCTTGGACGGGGGTACTCTTCACTGGGTAAAAAACTGGTTGGGTGGCCGAGCCGAGAGAGTTGTGGTGAACGAAGTTAAATCCAGTTGGTGACCGGGCACAAGCGGTGTTCCCCAGGATTCTGTTTTGGGGCCAGTCTTGTTTAATGTCTTCATCAATGA